TACTTCACTCACTGTGGTTTTGTGAAAAGCTTAAGTGAAGCAACTTTGTATACCAAAGTGAGGGGAGATAAGGAGATTCTAATTGTGTCTATCTATGTAGATGACATAGTGTACACAGGGAGCAGTCAAGCATTGTTGGCTGAATTCAAAGAAGACATGATGGCTAAGTATGAGATGACTGATTTGGGTTTACTTCACCATTTCCTCGGCATGGGAGTTGTGCAGACTGTGTCTAGTATATTTCTACATCAAAAGAAATATGCTAGCACCTTGTTGAGCAAGTTTGGTTTGACTGAGTGCAAATCTGTGACAACACCTCTTGTTGCCACTGAGAAACTAGCTAAGGATGATGGGAGTGGAGCTGCAAATGAAGAACAATACAGAAGCATTGTTGGTAGCTTATTGTACTTAACTGCTACAAGACCAGACATTATGTATGCCTCAAGCTTGCTAGCTAGATTCATGCACTGTCCTACAAATAGACACTATGGAACAGCTAAAAGAGTTTTGAGATACATCAAAGGAACTCTGGACTATGGTCTTGAATATGTGAAAGGCAAAAGATCAATTCTAGTTGGTTACTGTGACAGTGATTGGGGAGGATCAGTTGGTGATTGCAAGAGCACATCAGGGTATGCTTTTAGTTTTGGAAGTGGAGTATTTTCTTGGGCCTCAGTAAAACAGAACTGTGTTGCACTGTCTACTGCTGAAGCTGAGTATATCAGTGCAGCTGAGGCTACTACTCAAGCTATTTGGCTCCGTTTTGTGCTAGAAGACTTTGGAGAGCTTCAAACTGAAGCTACTCCATTGCATTGTGATAATATATCAGCAATTGCAATCACTAAAAACCCTGTATTCCACCAGAAGACAAAGCATATTGACAGGAGGTATCACTTCATCAAGGATGCATTGCAAGAAGGAGTAATCAATTTGGAATACTGTCCTACAAACGAACAATTGGCTGACATTTTTACCAAACCTCTGGCCAAAGACAGATTCAATTACCTCAGAGGCATGCTTGGAGTGAAATCACCTCAAGACTTAAAGGGGAGTGTTGAATTATAAGTTCTTAAGTTGATTTCAGGATTAGGAGTTTTGTTTTCAGATTAGTTGTATTTCTTTATACTTAGTCCAGGTGTCATAGCTTGATTGGTTAGATAGTGAATGGCTGAGATTGCATAGATGAATTGCATCCAGCTGGTACTGTGCTAACGACTATATTCTTCTCACACCAAGAGTGTGAGATACTGTACTGAACATTGAGAAATGAGAATGTTCTCTCTGCTACACGTATAGCAGAGCAGTCTTGGATTTCATCAGACTCTCTCTCTCTTCTCTCTTCTCTCCAAATCATATTCTAAGATCCTCAAACTCTAACAAACTTGCCATGATTTTAGAGATAATCTTTTTATAACGTTTTAGTATAAAACTTCTAGTTCTATGTCCTCAAAAAAGTTACAAGTTGATCGAGTCCATCGAATATGCACTACTAGAAAATGAGGCAAAAACGGTAGCCACTAGAGGAAAATAGTACTAATAGCCACATACCACAGATATTGATTTGGGCTGGATGTAACCTGTGATGAAGACAAGACAATATATAAATCAGCTTTTCATAAACTATTTATTATTATATATTTTGGACAAGTTGCGGTAGGTATATATGCTCATCGATGTAAAAAAAATTATATGATGCCTTAATTAATTCTCTTGACCATACGTTTGTTAGTTGTTCTATCGCTAGTACACAACCATATAATTATATATACACACTTGGGTTATTAGATTATAAGTCTGCACAGGAAGACTCATATATATATGTATATATTGTATAATTATATAACACGAACTCAGACTGGTCTGCTGGTTGTCAAAATCCAAGCCTGGATTTTAAAAATCAGCAGACAGCTGATGATCAGAGAAGCACCCTTTGATGAAGGGGCAACTTCATTAAATTAATTTCACCGCCTGTGGCCGAGTTTAGCAAGAAGAAGTCTAACAAAGAGAATAAGAAAATTAGGAAAATATTATTAAGAAGATGGTGAATGGATGAATTAGACCCAGATGCAATTATTAAAGATAGAGAAGACAGTTAATAGACATATACCATTTTCTCTCTTTGGCCTCCTGTTTAGATATATCACATGCAGAGAAGGATCAAAGTTTTTCAAGTTATAGGGTTTTATGGTCACAGGAGGGATGACACCAGCTGCTGGTAGCTAGTTACACCACAGACAGTGCCATCTCTCCTGCGAACATAAATCCCTCAACTTTTCTTCTTCTTCTCTCTCTCTCTCTCTCTCTCTCAATTTGGAGAGTGTTAGATTTTTCTACACCATGAGGAATTAAATTAGGTAGAGTTGCAGAAAGAAATAGAGGGGTTCATGTCACAGGAAGATGGAACATGCTTGCTGCTGCCAATTAGAGATCACAGCTTGTGTGCCATCTCTCCTGCGACATGAACCCCTAAACCTCTTTTAGCTCTTCTTTGTTGCTCTCTTCATGGTCTCAGGGCCTCTCAATTTATAGTCAGGCCAGGGTTCTCTATGAGCTCAGAGAATGTAAGGTTTTTCCACAAATATATATATCATCAGGAAATTACCTAAACAATGCCATGAAGTTGCTTCTAGTTTGCGAGGGCTTTGCCTCCCAAAGATTAACACAGAAAACAAGACAAATTAGACTATTCTGATGGATTAATCTTTCTTTAAATCAAGGGTTCAAAATGAGGAACATTGCCTAACCACACATCAGAAACTCTCTAGTAACTTACAAGTTCATTTCGTCCAATCGAAAAATTATGAAAATTACAAGGACAATTTCCTGGAGACCTTCACCTCAAAATTAAATTCCACGACTTTGTTTCAAGCATATAGCCTCCAGTCAAAAGAAATGGAAAGATCTGTTAGTCTTTGTCTTTGTTGCGGGGGCAGCTGGCTAGTCTGAGTCATGCATTCTAGTCTGGCTTGGACTAGTTCTTGCGTTTCTTGTTTGCTTTACACTAGGTTTCTGATTTTTAAGACAACCTCAACGATACGAGAAAAACATTATTGAAAACTTGTACCATCATGGCTGGGCCAATTAGCTATAGCTGTCATGATAGAATTACTTTATCAAGGAGGGTGATTTCGGAGTAATTGGTGTCTCTTTCTAATTTCTACGTAGCTTGTCAGATTTTTCCCATATGGAAAACATGAACTCTGTAAATTCCTTGTGAGTTTCCAGCTTATTAATATGCGATGTGAGCTAGATGCTCTCAATTAATTAACCTTGAGCATGCGTTTGAATTAACAAGTAGATTAATTAACTCAAGGCAAATGTAAAGGTAATTTCTTATGTTGTAGAAAAACCAGATCCTACCACTATAATCCAAATCTGCCATGGGGTAGTCTGACCCCATTATTGACCTATGGTGGATCCGCCGTAACATAGACTCCAAATTGAGATATATAAATTATGGGCACACTGCAGGTGGGTCGGTCGGTCATCGGTATGGACTGCAGCCCTAAATTTTTATTATTAATTAGGATGATACATATACGGTATACCGAAGAAGGTTATAATAAAATTGGATCCAACACCAAATTGAACCATTTCTTAGGAGAGACATTTTTTTGTTATTTTGTTTCAAGTAATATGTAAGCCAGCCAACAAGGAATTTGGGCCCATTTTAGTTTATAAAGGCCCAAGAAAAAGACAACAGGCCACCTAATACATTCTGGACATAAGGCCCAATAAAGCATTCTGGGCCGTTCATTAGAAACCCTAAATTTTGTCTCCATGACCAAGTACAAAGTGAAAGATCATCACTTGGGACTCTGGAAATCAACGCGGCTCAGTTTTATGGAGTCATTTTATAGTGAGGGCCTTATATGTGATCCTTAGAGTACTTCCATCAATTTGTCATGGCAAAGAGCAAGGGGAGGTAAGGGCTATTACTATTCACGTGAATAGTGACAGTCCTTGTAAAAGGCTTGTGGTGTTTCCACCCATTGTCATGGCAACCACTATTCATGTGAGATATGAAGAGATGAATTTGTATAGAGTCTAGGTGTGGGAAGTGAAAAATATGACTAAGTATTTATTTTTTAAAAAAATATGGAATTTTTAGTTTTTTTTTAAAGATTTTTTTTTAATTTTTTTGGTTGTTGACGACAGCAAACTCTGGCTAGAGCAAGGGCTGGTTTTTCTGAGGGCTAGCTCAGGCTTGTGGAGCCCACCAATAGCCCTGACAGCATTTGTCCATTGGAAACCCTTTTTGGGCCTAAGCCCCCCCTTGCCTGAGGCCGTTGGAATCGCTCTTAAGTGAGGCCATACTTTTTAATCGTTAGATCATACTAATCAATTTGATTCAACGGCTAAGAAATAGGACCTCGTATAACAGCCTCACTATAGAATTCTTGCAGTTTCATGTAAGTTTTTAAATTCCATCGATTCATAGTATAACAAATTGGCTTCAAGTTTATGCTTTCGGTTGGGGGATTTTTAGCCCCAAATTTTTACTCTGTTCCACTTTTTCCATGCCTATTCCCACTTGTTCTCCCGGAGCTTTGTGTCTAGGCTTGTCCTGCTTCTTTGGATTTGCGTTCTGAAATCAACCGTTTGTCTGCCCAAATGATGCAAGTTTTGCACTTTTTCTCTAATAACTGAGCGTCAGGTGTTTGTTGAAATGCCAAGTCCAGTCAGTTTTGTCTGAATAGGGGCCTTGCATTATTGTTACTTCTGATAAATATGCAGCCATAAACTTGGTGGGGAATCTATATGGGACATGGATACAAAAATGAAAATGCAAGACCCAACCTTAGGAAATAGGTGAAATTGGTTTTCCACCTTAGGAAATAGGTGAAATTGGTTGTTTTATGAAAACTCATGTGGAGTTAGAATGATACATACAGCTACTCTTTGCACGAGACAAAACCCTTTATTTTTCCCAAATCCAAAATCCAATTTTCTTCCTCTCATTTTCTGTCAGA